TAGACTGTGTGTGAACATGCAAATGAGGTGGCTGCTGTGAAGCGCACAGAGGAGTTTTGCTTGCTGTTTAGCGTGTTATTGAGTTTTATAATTATGATTTGTAAATAATGATACATGCCTGTAATTAAAACGCTGATTTTGCTGATTATAATATTACAAATAAGGTTTTGAATGACTAGGGTGAATGTTTGATGTTTGGCTGGGTTTTGATATAGAAGAGACAAATCATGTATGATTTAGACCGGCACTTCAGCCGGCATAGTAAGATTGTGATGAAAATGATATTAAATAAATCTCTTAGTGTGTTGATACAGGTGGCTATGGGCCTGGACCAACTGCCCCCACAAGCACAGCGGCCGAAGCAAAATTATAGTAATGGAAACCACACTCAGCAAGAATCAGCAGCTGTGGAAAAGACAGCAGCTAGCAGAGAATTAAAGGAGAAATTAAGAGAAGTTTTTAACACATAAAATTGGGGCCAACAGACTTGTGGAAGTTGGGAAGGTGTCCGGAGCATCACAACAAAAGGTGAAACAAAAACACACACAAGCAGAGTAATGTGAGAGAGGCACGTGCTAGAGGAATGCCTCGTTTGAAGAAAAAAAAAACAAAAACGTTAAATTAACCCACCTACAAACGCACACACGTGCAATGAAGAAACAGCTTAAATTCATGAACACGTGAAGATTTTCCAGCAAGTTTAAAGCAGCGAAACGTAACATACACCTGTTGTTAAATAATAAAGTTTATCCACTACTAACAAATAAACTCTCTGGGTTGCAGGACAACAACTTAACTTCAAAAAAGACACTGGCCCAACCCGGGGTAGCGGTCATGTCCGGTTGGGGGCTCTTTTCTGACCGTTTCCTCGTGGCTGCGTGCAGCGGGGCTAGGGGAGGGTTTGTGCTGACTAGGGCTGCCACAAACGATTATTTTGATAGTCGACTAGTCACCGATTATTTTTGCGATTAGTCGACTAATCAGATCATCATCCATTGGACGTAAAACGTACAGCAGCATCTGCTCTTATATAACTATCATTAGCTTACAGCTATAAGTGTTTAAGGTATGTGCTAACTAAAAATAAAGACAAGATGATAGTTTATTAAATTTTAATGAAATTTGCAGATTGTTTCGGTGAAGTTTAATAAACTCCTTGCTATCTAAAATCTAACAGGACACCGGAGTATATTCTCAGCATCTCACACTTCTGATAATCAGCTGTCTTGAGGTTGAGCTTGAGGTTTATCCAGCTGTGTAAAAACTATAACTTTAATCTGGCCTCGGGGACTTGGGTCCTGGTTTGTGTGTTGCCGGGGTTGTGGGCAGGTGGGTGCATGGGGGCCCATCCCTGGCACATGGTGCCGCCGGTGTGTCGAGTCACCTGGGGGGCTCTTCAAATGGTGGGGGAGATTGTCACACCTTGCAGGAGCTTTCCTCCTTCAGCCTCTCCTCAGGAACTCTCTGCAGGAGGAGGAGATACAGGAGAGGTGGAGGAAGATCTCAGCCTGGGCGTCTATCGTCTCATGTAATCTGGAAGATGAGTGGATGGGGGGGGGGGGGTGCAGTTTTCTCTGTGGGTGGGGTTGGGTGGACTGTCCCGGGCTCTGTGGGGCCGGGGGGCGCTGCTGCGCTGGGCCCCGGTCTGGATGGGCCTGGGCCCCCTTTACCTGGCGGGTCGCAGAGTATGGGAGTGCCTACTGGGGTCAGCGGGGGAGCTGGCCCCAGGGAGGGGTCACCTGCCGCTCCCTTCCTTCTCTCCCCATCTCCAGCTGCCTCCCTCTTCCCGCTCCACCACAACCACAGCCTCCCTGCTGCTGCGGAGTCGGGGCGGTCTGCCTCTCCCCACCGCAGGGAAAAGGGTAACACCACCTGGGTCTGGGTGCAGTTCCCCCCTCCAGGGGCAAGGGTACCTAGACCCAGTTTGTAGAGTATGCTTGGGGAGTGTGATCGTGTGTACAGCGTCTCTTTATGTCTGTCTCCACATCGGTTGAGTGTGAAGTGCACATGAGAGCATGAGGGTGGGAATGGATGTTTGTGTCTGTGTGTGCCTGTATGTTTGTATCTATATGTCAAGTTGGGTATCAGACGCCACCTCTCTGGGGACATCTCAGGCCTCCAAACCTTGGAGGGCCTATCTCCACCCACCACCACTTCCCCTGCCGGTGGCGTACTCCCTCAGGTGTCGGTGCGTTGGTGGTTCTTTGTGTCTGGGGGTGGGCATCCGTGTACACACCGGCTCACTCCTTGGCGGCCGCTTATCAGGGCCTGGAGCCTGGGGCTCGCTCGGACCACTTCGGAGGTGGGGTGCCCCCGGCCTCTCGGCCTGGGGCTCGGTCACTCAGGCACAGCTGGCTGCCAGCGGAGCTCACGGGCACGTCACTGCAACTCCCCCTGGCTTCTGCTCCGCGGCTGCTGAATGAGCCCTCATCTGGGACTCTCCTCAGCTCTTACTGGGACAGTGGCGCGGCTGCCCCTCTGTGGGTCTTCCTTGGTCTCTTGTGTTCTGGGGGCCTCTGGATGTCTGGAGTTTTGATCTCCTCCATACCTGCTTCATACCATAGAGGACAGGGCTGTGGCTCCCCACACTCCCTAGCAGATCATTACATGGAGAAACCTTTGGAATGCAAGCATGCTGATCCACACAGGTATGCACACAGGTGTACACATGGGTATTCACAGACGCGGACTACAGCTTTCTTGGCTGCTGCCTCAAAGCACATTGTGCGCTGTCTATCTTGCGTGCTGAACAATATCGTTTATTATTTAGTAACTATTGATATCGATTGCTAGCTAGTTTATTGTGATGGTGCTTTTTTTTTTCTTATTATGTTGCTGCAATGCGTCCTGTCATAGAACCCTCCAACGCATAGTGAGAGCTGCAGAGAGGATCATTGGTGTCTCTCTCCCCTCCCTCCAGGACATTTACAGCACCCGTCTCACTAAAAAAGCCCTTTGCATAGCGGCTGATCCCACGCACCCAATGCAAAGCTTCTTCAAGCTGCTGCCGTCGGGGAGGAGACTGCGGAGTCTCCAGGCCAGGACCAGCAGGCTGAAGGACAGCTTCATCCATCAGGCTGTCAGGAAGCTTAACTCCCTCCCGATTCTGCCCCCTCTCCCCTCTCTCCTCCACGGTCTCACTGAACTCTGTCACACACACTCACACACACACACTCTCTGACTCACTCACTGGCCTGCACCAGTTACCAGTCACTTTGTGGAGCATTGGACTGCCATTACCTCATAAGACTTTGTGTTACACTATCTCATACCGTACATTACTAAATCTCCATTTGCACTATTTGCCTATTTGCACTACTCTGCCTGGTTTGCACTCAATGTCATTTACCCTTATATTGTATATTGTATAGCTTTCTTGTTATATGTAAAATTGTATTATATTATTTAATTTTTTTTTACTTTAAAATATTTTACTTGCATTTTTAATCACTCTTATATTTAAATGTTCATTTTCTATTTTATCTAGGGATTGAGAGTAACGAAGTTTCTATTCTCTGCATGTCCTGTACATGTGGCAGAATTGACAATAAAGTTGACTTTGACTTTGTGTTTGTTTTGTTTTTTCTCTTTATGCTTGATTACAGGCTGCTTTGTCGGCCCGGAAAGCCGAGGCTGACCTGGACTCCTGCTCTCCCCCCTACCATCTTTGCTCTCTCCTCTACCATCTTTGATGTGACCCTGACCAAATGCTAGAGCAGCTGGACCCACAACAACAACCTGAAAATGTCAACAGTGCTGCAGGAAAACGATCTCATGCAGCGGAGACGGAGAGCGTTAAATCCAAGGCCCGTTTCACTACACGGGGAGATTTCCAGACAGCTTCAGCTGACAGAGCTGTGACGAGACGCCCATTAAGCCCAGATGAAAAGTGAGGCCGAGCAAAAGAATGCTGACCTTAACAACTCTGCATTAAAACTGTGCAGGACAGTGACGGACCAACACGGACGTTCGGGCAGCAAAAAGGGCGTGCCAGAGACAGGAGGAGGTCAGGAGGCACCTTGGAATGAACAAAAGCACCAGGAGAAAATAAGCTGAAGGCACAGGTGTCGGGGCTCGGCCAGGAGCTGACCTCTGAGAAGAGCCGAACAGCAAAGCTGTAGAAGGCCGTGGAGCAAAGCAAGGGAAACATCAATGGACTTCATTCTGACTTGTACGGAGAAGACTCTGAGGTTTCTGCCCTCAGTAAGAGCTCAAGGCATCACAGCAGGAACTGAACATGGCTCAGGAGGAGCTGGCTGATAATCGAACCCATCAGGCTTGGAGTCCCAGACACAGGACTTCGAATCAGGCCGGAGCTTGCTGGAGCAGGAGGTCGCCAAACCTGACGAAAAAGCTCCAACAGCAGGAGCAAGCCCTGAAGGAGCTACAGAAGCAAAAGGGTCAAGTTAAGGAGGAGCGGAACGAGGAAAAGATGCAGGATACTGGAGAAATGGACTGCCTTAATTGGGGCCAGAACCAGTATGGACAGAACTTTGAGCAGCAGCACCAACGGATGCAAACGGACTGAAAAGGAGGAGGGCAGGACCCCAGGGCACGCTTCAGGCCGTGGTTTACCCAGAACACCAGAACAGGAAAGTGATGAACATAAACACCCACATCTACATGCACTGACTCAGAATGAAGAGAAACACACATATGCACATATGCACTTGTTGATTGAGTGAGAAATGACACACACACACACACAAATCGAAATGCTGATTCAATTCACTGAGAAGTGATCCACACACACACGCTGATGCAATGAAGAATGCTTTACTAACAAATGCTGCACATGTAACCCACATAAAAATAAAAAGAACTGCATCTATAACTAAATTGGAATCTTAAATTCCAACCGGAGTGTGTCCGTGAAGGCATCGCGACGCGTCGTGACGCGCGTCGTGACGCACGCCACGCCGCGAGTCTGCACGTGCCTGTTGTGACCAATCATATTCGCGAGGCACCGATATATGCCTTCCGGGTTGTCGTCTCGAAAAGACGCGGGGGAGAGGCGTTAGCGGATGGAAGCAACAGGTACGTGGGGCGAGCGCTTTTCGCTGTTTACTATCTTGACTTGTTTTTAAATTAATTGTGGATTGCGTTCAACAGTATTTTGATACCGCCGCGGGTAGATGCGTGGGGCTCGTATGTGACATCGCACGTAGTGAATGGTGAGTTGAGCCTGAATGTTTGTTTGTATTTGTGACCTGTATCAGTATGCCAGTGCTATTAGCTGATGGGATAACTAAGGCTGAGGCCTACTACATTACTACTACTCTCACTTTACGTGGCTGTAGTTTTGTTATTAGAGATTGTTATTTATTTTAATTTATTACAATGGTTGGATATGTATTTGTTGTATATTGGTATTTTCTCATGAACTTTATTGTGTACACTGGAACTAAAGCTAGCTTGGGAAATTTAGATGAATTTTGCTAATAGTGGTCCTGTGATTATAGTGCAGGCTAGTGGTGCCCTGGAGAGACCACAGCGACACCACTACCTTGGATGGCGAGCTAGGCCCAACGAGCCAGAACCTCAGCTACAACTTCCTGCGGTCTGGTAGGAGGCTGCTGCGGCCTACACTCTCCCCCCTGGTTTTCAGTCCCCCAAATCTCACTTTCAAGATCTCAGTCTTGGAATCTCAGTTCTGATCATCACACTTCCAATTTCAACCTGTTACAGACTGTCATACGCGTTGGACTTATATCAATCATGAAATAGCAACTTTATGGACATTGTCTGCCGGGGGTTGGAGGAGGTTGCTGCACCGCTGTGCAGCGGATATTTTACAAGCTTGAATTATGTTTTATCTTTTTCCTGTCTGCAGAATTAATAAATATTGGTATTTGGTAATTGCACTTTATTTTCACTATAAATAATAACTGTAATCACAATATCTGTGGTTGTATGTTTATTGTACTTCACTCACCTCCTAGAGCCGAATCTGATATCTTCTGAATTAGCCCAACTACTCATAACCAACTTAAATTATTTTAGCTTATGTACTTGCTACACACACAAACATCCAAATACGGAGTCTGTTACAACAACAAGAACCCATTGATTGTTTATTGGTTAAATGCATTTCATGCCACCCAGAGGGCATCTGTGTAGATTTAGGGGACAAGGATTAGTGAATGTCCACAAACAATTCACCAAGCCTGTAAAAGAAGGGTGGATGTTTTGTCTTGCTTTGTTTTGTTTTGGCAAAGAACAGAAGGATGATAGGAGACGAAGGGGGGAGGCTGTAACTTCACAGGAGTGTGAATTGCAGACTTAACCCTTAAGTTGCTAATTTTGAGTTACTGATGTTTACATTAAGAAAATTGTGTTTTATTAGCTGTATTTCGATTAATGTATCATATTATATGGTTGGGAATGTTAAATGCTAAAGTGAAGAAAAGGTTTGATTTCACTCATAAGTGAGCAGATTATTATTAACCATAGCAGGTCACTGTAAAGAGTCAATCAACTTTTATAGAGATAAAAAACAAAAAACCCCTCAAATTATTTACTAGATGTTTATTTTTGAAAATTAATAAAAATCTGAGTTTAACAAAACATTTTAAATGTAAATATCAAGCTTACCTTCCTTTCTTCTATAAAATGTGCTTGTGGGCATGCCAGCCATTTTGAAAAGGTGGGAAAAACAATTGGCAAGGCCACACCCACACATGTGATATAATGTTAAAGGTACTGTTGTCCTCTCTAAGAAACATCAGGACTTAGAGGAGTGGCAAGTAGAGTAGGAGAGCTACAAGCAAAAACTAAATGTGTACTACAGTGCGCAAAAATGAATTACTGGGTCAAAAGGGGTTTATGAGGGACATTTATAAAACTAAAAATCCCACAAACTTTAAAGTGCACTTGAAAAGCTCACACAAGAAGGTTAACCTAGCTTACCTTGAAGAGCTCATCAGGGGGAGCACACTCCCCCTCCTTGAAGAGCTCCCCCACTTAACCAGCATCCCCAGAAAACAGCTAACCCCAGATAAGGCAGCGTGATGCATCCCGAGACAACAGGACTGGGACATCTAAATAAATGTGTGAGTCAATTGCCTTCAAAAAGGTTATCAATTCATTTGAACTAAAATTAGGAACACCCGGTGCTGCAAGAGTTAATAGTCTCAATACCCAAGGATAAGCGGAAGAGCATGATTGATATAATGGAACTAGGATTTGGTTACACTTAATTTTTGCAAAACACAACTAAAACTATAACTGAAACTAATCAAAACTAAACTCAAATTAAGGACTTTCTGAAAATAAAAACTAGACTAAACTAGCAAAGAATTGGTAAAAAAAACTAATTACGACTGGTATAAAATTGAAAATCTGGAGTCGAAACTAAATAAAACTGAAAACTAATGAAAATGGCAAAACGATTAAAACCCCGGTGCAGAGATTGGCAAATCTGACCAGGAAATGTTATAAAATGAATTGTCGGAACAGTCAGCGTTAAAGTCACCTTTGACAGTCCAGACTAAGATGGCGTTGAACATCTTCAGGGCGGAAAAGGGTTGGTGTGACCAAGGTGTGGTTTGGCTTGTTGTATGTATATTTTGAGATGATGTGGCTCTGGAGGGACCAGTTACCAGGGCATGGAAGGAGGACAGACTCATTAAATGAGGAGAAGGAATTTTCTGGGATTGGAGATCCTCTGGGTGAGTGGTTGACTGAAAGCATGTATAAAATAAAAGTTATCTGTTGTTATTGATTGGTAATAGATTGATAATTGGCCACATTTACAGCTGTATTGACTTGTTGTGGACGTAGTCGACTTCAGGTTTAAGCACTCTAATCAACAGGTTGAAAATAGTGATATTAAAGGAAGAGTATGCAGCGCCACCCTGTCAGACGCCAGTGACGGTGGGGCTCACTGATGAATCAGGTGAGCTGGATTCATGGCTGATTCAAAACTAAGATTCCCCTGCTGTGGTCAGTAAGGGGAAGACAGGGGGAAATAGAATTTAAAAGAGGCATTTATAAACGTTTATGTGCCAAGTTAAATGGGATAAAAGGGGATGTTTTTACGCTTATCTTGGCATCAGCTTTATTATTGCATCAGAATCATATAACAAGCATTGCATTAAACATTTATTGAAGTTTTTGACATTGTACTAACGTTTGTCTTCCAGTGATTGTTATAACCGCAGGTTAATCTTCTATTCTTAATCGTATATTCACAGGTGTCAGGATAATCATGTGATCTTCTATTGCAGGTGTAACCATGATCATTTTTATACATATTGCAGTTTGTTGCTCATTATAGAGTTGTGCACAAGTTAATAAGGGTTAAAAGCTACAGTCAGCGCGATGTTTGGCTGATCTATGGTGTGGAGTGACTTCGAGCATGGAAGGCTGCACGTGCTTACATAACACTGATATCATGTTATTCTTTGTGATCTTTTATTCAATTATATCTTTAAGTCAAGTTTTAAATAGTGGTAGTTAATTAAATGACATTCATTTAAGATCATATTCTTGGGTCAGAGCATCACACGCAGATCAACTTAACAACCTGGGAGACCTTGTAGCTTCAATATTGTGTCTCCATATGGGACAGTAGGGGGAAGCAAACACATGATTTTTGGGGGGCAAAGGTGAGGATTAAAAAAAAAAAAAAAACGGCTAATTTGTTTTTGATGTCTTCTCTTAATATGAGTGGTTTTAGTAATCTTCAGACACACCTTGCAAATGTGCTTATAATGAGTTGGCACTCGGCCTTTTGAAGGTCATAAGCTTTGTTCGGCGTGATGGTCCGGACTGATAAAGTGTAGGAAATGCCTTGAGTGCAGAGGGCTAAATGCAAACACGCTTACACACATAGGATATGATTAGAATAAGTCCCTGGGACATTCTGAATATTCTAAACCAATTCTGAATCACTAGAAGGTCAGTAGATAACAACATTAGATTATTAGGGTTAGGAAGAGAGGTGTTTTGGTTTTCTGTCTCTTACAGAAAAAGGAACAGACACCAGATGAGGTCACAGAGATGCGAGGATCCTCCGCAGCAGAGACAGATACAGTGACTGCCGAGACACCAACTGGGTCCAAGTGTCATGGCGTTTGGGCTCCAGCTAGTCACCTCAAAAGGATGGATCCCATAAACACAGCAATAACCATGAAGGGGTTGGCGGAAATCCAGGAACACCAGACCAACGAGGTTCGAGAGGCTCTGCTATTGTTGGAATAATTGTTTTTCTTACATTTGAACTGCGCAAACACAGAGGTCATCTCACCTATGGTTCGCTCATCAGGGGGACAAAGGACCTCAGGAGTGAGAAGAGATGAACCCGGCCACACTGGGTTATAGGGTGTAGGTGAGCTCATTATTCTAATGACCTCATCAGGGGGAATTGTTAGATTATAATATTATTTTATGCCATGTTATACCCTTAATTAAAGATTATGAATTATTATGTAGTTTTAGTTTGCATTATTCTCCTGAATTAGAAGAAGCTGATAACTATTGCATTAGTTAAACTGATTTGCATTACATTAGACTGCTGATTTATTGTGGATAAATGATATCGTTTTATGATGTTATCAGAAATACTGTTTGCAGAAAGGCATCGCCTTATTTGTCTGATTAGAAGAGAACGGAACATGCTGGAGTTTTCTGCCCCATCTCAGCAGGAGCAGATAAACGGGGAGCCAAGTTCATAGCTTAGGCGCCGTGTGAGAGAAAAGCATGTGAATGTTTAGGCTTTTATGATAAGGTGGGGGCACCAGAGGCTATAAGAGTTTGATCAATGCTCCACCATTTTGAGATCTGAGGCTGTCTGCATACAGTGTCCATCTCCCACATGTGTGATCATTAAAATCATCGTTTGACTTAACCCGGCCGGACCAGTGTTGTTATTGTGGTTTTTTCTCTTGTCTCCATCCCCAATTTTGAACTCGTAACACTGGTGGCAAGTGGCATCTTGGCGGCTGCACGCTTGACTTTTCTCAGTTCATGGGCAGTTATTTTGCGCCTTGGTTTTTCCACACGCTTCTTGCGACCCTGTTGACTATTTTGAATGAACCGCTTGATTGTTCGATGATCACGCTTCAGAAGCTTTGCAATTTTGAGACTGCTGCATCCCTCTGCAAGATATCTCACTGTTTTTGACTTTTCTGAGCCTGTCAAGTCCTTCTTTTGACCCAGTTTGCCAAAGACAAGGACATTGCCTAATAATTATGCACACCTGATATAGGGTGTTGATGTCATTAGACCACACCCCTTCTCATTACAGAGATGCACATCACCTAATATGCTTAATTGGTAGTAGGCTTTCGAGCCTATACAGCTTGGAGTAAGACAACATGCATGAAGAGGATGATGTGGAGAAAATACTCATTTGCCTAAATTCTGCACTCCCTGTATAGCTTTAGAAAAATTTGCATAAGAAGCACTTGCAGCAACAAAAACATAATATTCCAAACTTGCAGCAACAAAAAGATAATATTCCAGAAACACGCTTTGCCGATGTTCATAACACTTCTTACGTTG